GGGGGGGGGGCAGGCCTATTGAGTGGGTCGGCTCAGGGGGGGTGAAGGGGGCCGCGAACCCCCCCCCCACCCACCCCCAAAAGAAGGGACCCGGACGCTCAACATTCACAAACCTGGAGAAGAGTTTGTTTGATGTGTTTGACAGGATCGATCCGGAAGATATCAACAGGGGGTGATGTGAGGAAATATTAAATACATCACAACAACACTACATGTTCACAGCTGATTATCATTTTCAGTATCTATCACTGTGTTACCAGCGTCTCAAATGTGAGAATATGCTGGTTCTTTAAGTCGGGTTTATCCGTCAAATGTTGCATCACCAAAAAAAAAATGAATTTACAGAAAATCTGCTGGAGAAAAAATGCAAATAAAAAGTGACATTTGTAGAAGTGTGGTTGTTAAACGACATATCAGACTTTGTCTGGCAGAGAACAGTTAAGACCCGGACTAATAGATGATAAAAAGACACCGTTTAAGAAAATGCTTTACATCGTCTGAAGTTAACATATCTTTAGAAGCAAAGAAAGAATAATCCTCTGGTCACCAGACTCCTGTTGCCTCCTTCAGTTAGTTTGTGCTTTTATATCACAAACAAACTATCAAACTAAAACACCGACTCTGTGTATAAGTACCTCATAAAACCCCACTTCAAACTGTTTTCCATCCACTACTTTTATGCAAATATTAGGAGTTGGTTTATGGAGCTAATTCTCCTGTCGGGTGCCAGTAAACCACTGAAGAAGAAGAAGACACAAAAACATTGATCCAGAGGGATGTTGTTGTGTGTAGCTGCAGTACATATTACATTTATTAACGTGAGGAAGATTAGTCCAAGTCTTCAGGAAGAGAGCCGGGCGTTAAGGCTAATTTTACATCGTGGTTAAACGTTGGAAATACAACGTCCGTGTTCGTCACATGACGGAAAATACTTTTTCTTCCCATAGACGTCTATTGGAAAAGAGACACGACGGTTCAAAATATTATTTTTACCCCAAAAAACAGACCGCACTTTCCAGATTTCACTGCTCCCTCAAATCAACAAATGTGGATTTATATGATATGAAATATGATTTGAATACATTAATGATTTCACTCATGATGTTGCTGGTTATGTGTTTTTAAATTGATGGAGAAATGAAGGTGGAAGCATGTGACTGGATGGTGACCATGTTTTTTATTTTCTCTCCAAAGCATCATGGGAAAACTTGTTGACGCGAGCAAAATTATCCTCAAATTACTTCTTTTTTTTCATCCAGTTGGGACATTTCCCAACAGCCTCAGCTGTACTTTGTGTTAACTGCTAATTAGCTTAGCATGCCAACACGCCGAACTAACCTCTCAAAGACAAACTCTGGTCGACATTAGTATCCTACTGTGCATTTATAGTAATTAGTTAGAAATTGAATAAAACGTCAGGTTTACAGATCTTTTGTGCGAGAGGAACCTCAAACCGTCAGAAGATTAAAGCTCATAAAAGTCTTTTGGGACACTAACTGGAGACTTAAGCATTTGGAACTCGTGAAAATGATTAAAATGTTAGAAAACACTGAAATAATCTGTTTTCAGACCAGATAAGTTAAAGGAAAATATTCCACCAGCTCTCGGCTGCTATAATAGTAGTAAAACGCACAATTAGCAGCCAGCAGGCGGACGGATCATTTTGTTTTTGTCATTCAGTTTTCATGTTTGATTATCTCTTCACCAACAAACTTTAAGTGGACCACCCAGTCGGGCTCCAATTATAACTCCGCAACACTCTGGTCTTCTTCTTCCACATCGAAAAAAAAAAAGAAGAGAGAATTACAAGTGGACACCTGTCAATCTCCTTAATTAACAATGATCTGACCGTGTATAGACCTCCAGTCTGCGCCGGACAAAAGCCAACAAAGGATTACGCTTTAAATCCTTAAAACACGCTGCGGCCACTGTATTAATGCGGGGGGGGGGGGGGGGGGGATTACAACCGTGCTAAACAACTAAACGTCTCTCTCCGCCTCTTTTCAATTAGTTCGGTGACTATTTGACTCAGTGAGGAGGAGGACAGTAACTTCTCTGCAGACGGACGGACTCCAAGCTGCTGCTTCATCAGCAGAAAACACATTTTTAGGAAAGATTAAAACCTTTGACGCTTAACATCACAAAGAATCATTTGGATGATACGATACCAGACTTCCAGTGCAAAAACTAAATAAACCAAATTTCTAAAAAAGACAGTTTAAAAGAACAGAAGCAGAATAAAATCAGGAACCGTCCAATCAAAGAATCTAAAAACACACCAAGAATGAGTAAAATAATTCACTTTGTTCGGTACTCAGAATGTTTTCAGGTATGAAGTATTATATTTATGACAAAGACTTTGTTCAAAGCATTCAACATTGTTCCACTCATGATTTATATCCAACAAAACTAATAAAACCTCAAACTTCTGAACTAATCTTTAAGTTTTTCTTTACTACAACGTCTTTGAATACCTTCTGACCTCCGACAGTAGAAACGTTTGTTCCCGTTTGAGCTCAAATCAATGTTGGAGTAAAAACACAAAAACGTGAATAAATCTCCTGTGAGATTGTTCTGAAGTTTTTAAAAAGTATTTTGTGTAAATGCCGTTACCAGCAGGGCCTCGTGTGTCTGCTGACTCCTCGTTACTGAAGTCGGTCCAACCAGCCAGCGAGAAGCGGCTCTTATGCGCAGCTGTTTATCCTGAAGTGGTTTGGGAGTTTGGAGGCTTATCGGCCACTGTGGCCGCTGGATGAATCCGTTACTTTGCTGCCCCCCGGTTCAAATTTGGTGCCAAAGGCAATAATGGCCGCCAGCAGAGACTCCCCGGCTGGTTATTAAACGGCGGCCGGCACAAAGGCCCCGCGCGCGTTTCAGAGGCAGCGTGTTGACACATCACCGCGGGGGGTAGCAGGCGCCGTCAAAAGAGGGAAGTTAACTTTGGTTTCAACCCTCTTCAGAGCGCATCACACACCCAATCAAACGGGATCCTCGAGGATGCTTTTATCAGGGGGGGGGGGGGGCGGGTCTCCCCCAACGCTAATCAGCAACCCCCCCGCCTCACCCAAAACCACAAAAGCCCAAAGCCTGCAGTGATTACTGGCCGAGCGGAGGACCGGCCCTGAGAAAGTGTCGTCCGGACAAAAGCGAGCTCTCCGGCCTCCCGCTGCAGGAAAAAGGCCCACTTGTCTGGATAATCACATTCCTACAGATGCTGATATTATAGTTGGTTAAGTCCAGATTTCACCATCAATGTTAAGCAGAAATCCTAGAGTCAACAGCTCCTAAAGACCTGATGATTAGTTATTAATCTTATTCTACACCAAGACTGAGCTGGAGGAAAAATAAATCAAAGGTTTACAGCTTCAAATGGACAAAAAGCTGCAGAAACCTTGGAGTCAACACCTTAACAAGAACTGATGATAGTTCAAAAATATGATTTCAAACCAACACTGAGCTGGTGAGTGTCAACGCTGGAGGAAAAAGTCAAAGGTTTACAACTTCAAACGGCGAAAAATCAGCAGAATTCAAATCAGTGCGAACCTGAGAAGAACATTTAAGCTCCAGCTGCTCAATATAATGAACCTGAGATCATAAAAGCCATGCTGGACATTTACAAAGATTCCTCTTTGTTGAGCGCAATAATTTTCCCAACGATGATGGAAAAAAATATAGAGAAAGAGAATCCTGCGCCACTAATTGGCAAGTTTACCGTTAAGAATGAGCGGCAGAGGCAGAGGCCGGGGGGGGGGGGTGCCGCAATCTGGAGGAGCCAAAAAAACCTCATTTGCATCAAGTGGCACCAAGAATAGCTGCGACTCCCCCGCACGCCATCAGCGGGCAGATGAGATTATTCATCTACTTGCAAATTGGCACATCAAAGTCACACCGGGGAGGAGAGAGCTGGCAGAGGGGCCGGGGGGGGCCACAGCGTGGACAAAGTGAAATAAAACAACCTTTTTTATCTTCATCATATCTGAGACGATGTTTGTTATGAAGAAGCAGGTCCTGCAGAGCAGTCGATGTTTGTTTTATTCATTAGTTTTCCTGCTTAGTTTCTTTAAAAACTTGTTCCGAGGCAAAAAGCTTCATTTAATCTGCACGAGATCTTCGTTTCAAACAAGATAAATACAAACGAAACATATCCATAGATTTAGAATGCATTGTAGAACCTAGAGGAGAAGTTTGACTGTTTATTTAGAGCTCAGTTTTGTTCTCATCACTTCCGTTGTGACAATCATTTTAGTCCGAGTAACGTAAAGCTGCATTCTCTCTAGTGTCCACCAGGGGGCGACTCCTCTGGTTGTATAGAAGTCTATGAGAAAATGACTACTTCTCTCTTGATTTATTACCTCAGTAAACATTGTAAACATGAGTTTATGGTCTCAATCTCTAGTTTCAAGTCTTCTTCAATACAGCATGATGTTCATTTAGAAAATTATGGTGCGTTAGCGTGTGTTAGCATGAGTTAGCGTGAGTTTCTTACGTTGGAACGACTGGTGGCCTCCGCTGTGTGCACCACGGTAGCTTCCTTGTTGGTACATGTTGGGTGGCGGGGCGTTGCTGTACTGTCCACCGCGGTTTCTGTTCACACTGTGACTGAAGGAAGAGAAAAGTGTGATGTAAGAATCGGAGTTACAACAACAACAAACAACTTGTTGGACACATCAAATTCACAAACGAGCTCACAGAGTGTGACGGTTTGGGGCGTTTAGCTTCAGGTGAAACATGAAAAACAACAGGAAGTCCTGTATATTTTTAGCAATACTACTACTCTTATCTGTACTTTTTCATTACTTAATAATAACAATTTAATATATTATTTAATAAATAAATAAATTGAGCAGCAACAGCAGCAAAGTCACTGAATAAAGTCTATAATGTCTGGAAACAAATCTAAAATAACATATAGGAGTCAAAGCTCATGTTGTGTTTTCAGATCTCAGAGGTGAACATCACAGACGGAGGAATCAAAGCAACAGAAAGATGCTTCTGATAACGATGCTCTGAGCAGCTGTTCGTTTGGCCCCATCGAGGCACATAACTGCCGGAATCACTGAATCAACGACTTAGTTTAGCAAGAAGAAGAAGAAAATTGGAATAACATTCCGTTTCTTCGAATCCGTGCATAATTAATTCCACAGTCGGACCGAGCCAGATGTTCAATTATTCACATTTCCTTAATGATAATATCAACGTGTGGAGGAGAGAGCTTAGATCATAATCAAGGATGGCTGGTTAACGGGCAGCGACGGACACATTTTCCATTTTAAAATACTGTAACCGTGAACACTGAGTCACTGTGGAATCAGCAGTCATTGTTTAACACTGTGAAGTGACATCGCTCGCGGCAGGACGGTCTACCGGCAGCTGTGAGGGGAGACGTTGAGCGGAAAATGATTTCATAAACCGTCTCTTTAGATGCGACAACTCAAACGTGGAGGACAAAGAAACAACTTTTTGTGTTTTTCTTCAGAGGTATAAAAGTGACTGACGATGATCAGCGATAAACTACGACTGTGATTGAACTGCATCGCAACCGTGTGGATATTAAACGTGAGCAAGTCGGTCTAATCGAATGCTGAGAGGCGTCAACGGTTCAACCCATAAATCCCAAATAACAGATGAAACAACCGAGTTTATATTTGTCGCGGTGAAGCCGGCGGGCGCCAGAAAATGACGGAATCACAGCCGGCGCTTTGTCGTGCACCTCGATAAAGTGACTAACAGTTGACTGATGAAACCATTGTTTACGCGTCTCATGATTATACAGAGGTCAGTTCGTTTTTAGATGCTTTAGAAACAGAAAGTCTGAAAAAAAAAAAAAAAATCTACATTTGAGTGAATATTTAGGAGCCAAATCAAATAGTTTACAAGATATTCAGCCTTCGTTTCTTTATAATGTATTTAATACTTGACTTGTTTCTTTACAGGGTTTAAAGGTAATAAAGTAGTTCATGAATATGAGATATGAGTTTACATATAATAATCCCTCCCCTCTATAGTGGAGGTTAGTTTATGTCTTTTTGCCGGTTAGACCTTCAGTCTACGATCATATCTACGAGTTTCACTCGTCGTCTTTTTGATTCTTCAGTTCATTTAGTTTGTTCGTCTTCTGGTGCTTCAGAGAATAAACTCCTCCGTTCACGCTCAGATCTGTGGCTCACGCTACGAGCACAGACGGAGCTTTAGAGCGCATTAGAGAGATTGATAGCGTTGTACCTAAAACCTTCTTCATGGCGGTGAATAGATGAACTCACCCCAGAGCCCTGAAGCCGGACTGGTCCAGGTGAGCCTGCTGCCTGTGTTGGTTGAAGCCCAGCTGGGGTCTCCATGGTTCTCTGTTGCCCTTCTCCCAGTCCCCCGGCTTCAGCACCTTGTTGGGTATCCTGACAACAACAAACAACAAACAAACAGAGTCAAAGCTGCACTGAGATAAAGAGTTTTATGTGAATCTCAGAGGAGAGTGTAGACTCTCAAATAACAAACGCTTCTGATCAATAATCAGTTCATGTTTATCAATATTACTTTTCTTCATTAGTGTCCATTCGGCTCTGGTGTTAGCATCACTTCTTATACACTTTATATTTAATCTTTGTTGTTTTTTTACTGTATTTATTTACTCTTATTTATATTTTATTCTATTTTGCAATGTGTCCGTTTTATTTCGTTTACATTTAATAAAAAAAAGTTGTATTCTATTTTTTTTTGTATTTTTATTCTATTGTTTTTTGCTCTTCATCTTTAATGAAACTCAACACAAGAATTTCCTTCGTTATTAATAAAGTTATATTCGATCTTCTTTTGATTAAACTGATTTATGTTGTTGTCGTTTGTTTGTTTCATCTCCAACTATTGTTATTCTGATCACGCTCTGTGAGCTCGTTAGGCTGCAATCTTTGCATTAAATGTGTTATGCAAATGATATAATAATAATTATATTACATGAACAAGTTGTGTGTGTATCGCAGCCTGATATCTCCATCAATGCACCTCGTGAGAACACTCACTACAGCACCCAATGTGGATTCATCCGCGGCTGAAAATAGTCCCCAACAAATGCACTTTCTACTCTCGTTTGTTTGAAGTCAGAAAGTTTGAAAAACGTGTTGTTGGTTTTGATATAAAATATCACCTTTAACACCGAGCTGAGATATAGATATATATATAGACATCTATATATAGATATATAGATATCTATCTCAAAAACCTGAAAAGAAGGAGGCTTAATATTTATGAAAGCATTTCTGAGATGAAATAAGTCCTCACTTGGCTCCAGGAAGGAGGACCGCCTTGAACACAAAGTCGGCTGCAAAGTACGGATCTTTGAACTTCACCCTGAAAAAAAAGCAGAAGAAAATCAGTTTCAAGTGCGGACAGAAAGAGTTCCATTAGCTCACTTTCTTTCTGTTCCCGAGTCTGTGACGTTTGATGTGTGAGGATTATTCTGGTGAAGAAGCGTTTCATCACATTCTCAGCCGGCGTCGTCCACTGTTCCTGTTGAGCCTCAGACAGAGAGAGGCTGCACACTCATTCTAATGAAAGACGGCTGAACAGATTCTCACGGCTCAACTCTGCGACGCTCTGAAAATAAAACGCTTTGAAGCTACGCTGAAAATGTCTCAATCAGTAAGACTGTCAGTGAATCGCTGGGACGACATATACAGAGAAGAAACATGCAGATATCTGACTGACACAGCTTCTATACATCATCCATATACATCTGTCTAGCGCTATAGATCTATATTGATATATAGATCTATAGAGCTAGGAACTAGAAACCAACAGGACCACCCGTCCTTTTTTCATTTAGATCAAATCATGACGAGTGTTTATGAAGGAAAGTCAGATGTCTCAAACCTTTAAGTGTTGAACTGTCTGAGAACAGAAGAAAGTATGACACTAGCTGGGTTCTTACCCGATGGCGTGGTTCTGTTCGATGTCCCGCAGCGTTGGGATGGGTGACGTCACCAGCCTGAAGGACAAATGACACGAAAACAAATAATCAGGTGGGTCGTTGCACTTCTTCAGCTCCGTCAGCCTTAAGAACACGAGACAAAAAGGCACAAAGACAGGTGAGCGCGAAGCCGGCGTTTCCTTACTCGTCTGGTAGAATTGGGTTGTCGTCAAGATTTAACGTACCCAGGATCCCATGACAGAGCTCCGCAGGGATCTCAGTGCCCTGGAGGAGGTAAAGGTGCAGATTGTATATCAAGCAGTGAATGCTGATGATTCAGGTGTTTAGTGAACAGGTTGGTTTCTTGTTTTAAGGAAGAAAACTTTGACAGCGAGTCTTTAGATGTGTTCATTATTTGTTCAGATGTGATCCGTCCTCATTAATGTTTGCAGCTTTACGTGCTGCTGTATTCTTTTGAATCACTGTTCAGAAATACAGTGAGTAAATAACTCTGAACAACTTTCCTTGCTTTTACAAATACATAATCAACGACAGTGAATCGGACTCAGATGACACCTGCTCAGCTACACAAACATCTGCAGCACAGTGACGCAGGAAGTGATGCAGAGTGTCTACTGGATGTGAGAGTTTGATTTACAAAACCACAGAAGAAGAAGACTATTATTACAGTGTTGAGGAGGATGGGGGGGGGGGGGGGGTCAGCTGCACCATGCATCACAGCGCAGAGGATAATATTAACTTAAAGGAACAACAAGCTGCTGCATCATCAAACCTACTGGTGAACTTTGTCAGACACTGCAGGTTGTTAGTGCTGCTGTTCAGAGAGAGTACTCAAGATACTTTACTGAAGAGTAGCAATACTGCAGTGTAGAAATACTCAAGATACACTTAAAGTACCAATGGTAAAAGTACCAATTATGCAGAATAATGTATTTTATATTACTTGATTGTGATTATTGATGCATTAATGTGTTCAACACTTTAATGTCGCAGCTGGTAAAGACATGTATGTTGTAATGAAATATAATGTCGTGCAGGAAAAAGTACGATATTTGCCTCTGAGATGTGAAGTATAAAGTAGCTCTCAAGTAAAGTACAAGTAACTCAAAAGTGTACTTAAATACAGTACTTAAGTAAATGTACTTCCCCCAGTTAATATTAAGACCACATTTCCCATCAGCCCCTTCGTAGCTTCCTGTCTGAAAAGTGCATCGACTGTTTGAGGTTTTTAAAATAAACTACATTTACTTCTGCGGACAGAAAGAACTGCTCGGCCCCATCGGGTTGATTTGAATTTCGAGTTGTGCGTGTTTTGTTACCTCTTGAGATTCTGTGCGGTAGAGTTCATGGATGAAGTCGGAGAGCGGGTGAGACTTCTGGAGAAACATCACGTCGCTGCCCAGACTGTTTCTCCTCACTGCAACAGAGAACACGCAGCAGAACACCTGAAACACGTCACCTCACACAAACCGTGTAGAAACACTAATCAGCTCAACACTGAAACACATTTAGTCAGAGATGCTCATCGTAAGAAGAAATCCAGAGTTCGTAGAGTTTTTGCTCACCTTCCTCAGGTGAGAGGTCGGGGTAGACGTCGTCCAGAGCCGCCCTCAGCCGACTTTCATCCACGAAAGGCAACAAGGCCACACCTTCAAAATAAAACACATATACAGGAATTTAACATCTTTGTGTGCCACAATCTCAGGATTTGGTGACATCTAGTGGTGAGGTTTCAGATTACAACGAACTGAATACTCCGGCTGCTCCTTACCACGACTGAGGTAACAAAACCACGTCAAAGGCCATCAACTGTATATAAGACGTGGACCGTTTCAAGTCCCGAATTTGGCAATTCTGGTCATCGCCATCTTGTGTTTTGCAACCCGTGAACAGGAAGTGACCATATCTGGACTGAGGAGTGACGTAGAGACGCCGTATACGTCTCTGGTAGAGACGCCGTATACGTCTCTGGTAGAGACCTGTCAATCACCATGTAGCCCCGCCCTAAAGCATCCCCTGCTTTATGGTCTGTTTGACTCTAAATGGACCATCATTTACTAAATGAACATCATGCTGTATTGAAGAAGACTTGAAACTAGAGATTGAGACCATAAACTCATGTTTACAATGTTTACTGAGGTAATAAATCAAGAGAGAAGTAGAGTCATTTTCTCATAGACTTCTATACAACCAGAGGAGTCGCCCCCTGGTGGACACTAGAGAGAATGCAGCTTTAACACATGAAGCTTTGGCTTCAATCGGAAGCCTTAATTTCACTCTTCAGAACCGGAGGTTGTCGACTGTGGTATCTTTCAAGATATTCGCCTCAGACTACTTTAGGAACAATGAAAGTCTATTATAGTCTATTAAAGTCTATTATAGTTCTAAATATGATCATAGAGTTCTGCTAATAGATCACTCTAAAAGACACACACTGGCCCTTTAAAAGCAGTGTTATTGAGCGGGCAGGTGACTCACCCTGCCAGGCGTATTTCTTGCCGTTGAGATCAATAGCGAAGTCGTCGGGGTAGAAATCGATGATGGAAGAATCCTGCGTCAAGAGAAGTGTGAGACTTGTAAAAAGCAGCTCAGAGTGAAAACTACTCTCCCTCCTGATCTCTCTGCACCTCCTTCAGGACTCGACACTTACCGGACTGCTCATGAGGCTCCGCCATGTGGCGGGCAGGAAGTTGCCGCTGGCGGCGGGAAACACTCCCATCAGCTGCTCCAGTGGCTTGAACTGGACAAGACAACAACACACCAACAAGTTATTTACACACTCATAGTTACTCTCTGATTCAACTAGTCTGGTTTCAACTCCATCGAAACAAGGTTTATGAAACTTCTTGTTGTGATCCATGACACAAAAAAGTATCATTGTTGGTCAGTTCAACTTCTGTTGAAGTAAAAAATGACCTGGACCTCCTGGCAATCTTACACCATATTTTACAATTTGTAGTAATCATAATTATTGAATTAAGGGCTATTTAAGTGCTCGTACTGGGAGGTTGATTCACCTAAAACAAAATGATGTTGTGTCTTTTGGTTCATGCATTCCATTTGTGTTGTAAATGTTCTACGGGGAACCAATCTAAATGCTGATGTGTCAACGTTAACTCTGCAGCTTGTGTTAAACAACTTATTTCAGACATCTAACCAAAAACACATTGACTTTTAGACGAGAGAACAGGAAGTGGAAAGATGCTGACTAACTTCTGGTTGTTAGGTCACATTCCTGCAGAACTCTATTGCCGGTTCAATAAAAGAAAAACACAGATACAGATTTGTACCAGCAGAAATGTTTGTGGCCAAATTCTTAATCCTAAATATTTAGAAAAAATATGAGAAAAAGTCTCCCAACTTCACGTGTTCCTCTCTTTTATTGTGAAAGCTCTAAAACTGTTGCGTTTTCGTGGATTTCTCTAATAAAGCCTCCACCCGGCGTAGATGTTGCAGTGAGTTTACTGGCATTTGATTGGAGCAACAGATTCAACAAAAACTCCTCTGTTAGATTTGGTGATGAAGTGGGAGACGAGACAAAACAAAGAGAGAGAAGTTCTCAGTGCGTTATTACCGGTTTGGTGTCCTTGTCAAAGTCCGTGAACATCCCTTTGATGTCTTTGAAGTCGGAGGCAAACGGAGCGTAGTGGAACGGGAAGTACCACTGCCAGGAGGCGCAGCCCTGCAGATCAACAGATACAAGCACCGGCTTTAATATCACGTTACATGTCGGGAGGAATCAGACGGGTCACGAGCTGCACAGACGGAGCATTCAGCATTTAACTCAAGGCTGCAGCTAACATTGATCCTCATGGGTTGATTTAATCCATTACATAAATGTCCAAAAATAGTTAAAAATGTCCGTCACAACAATTACCCACGGCTGTTTTCAAATCGCTTTGTTCAACAGTCCAAATATGTTCAATTATTATTATATAAAATAAAACATTTTCACATTTGAGAAGCTGGAACCAGAGACTAAAATTCAAGAATCACATCTAAATTATGCATTTTATTTATTTATTTAAATAAAATACATTTACAGAATACTTTTACACCCACAGCAGGTTTAATCTGATGAATTTTAGATTTACACGAGTGATTGTAGAGAACAAACACCAGATTACGTTGAAAATCAGGGAGTACATTTAAATCTAAGCATATTCGTAACCTTAAAACATGAACTAAACTTTCAAGACTTTGTTTGAATCCTGCAGAGAACATTTGCCGTTAGTATTTAATAATGATTAATCAACGTAAACTTCTGTTTGATTTAATATCCACCCGACAACCGACAGTTGGTTCTCTTCCCTTTGTGTCACAAACAATAAAGTTTACAGAATTATGTTATACCCACAGCAATGAATGCATATTTTCACTTTGTTTATATTTACTTAATTAATAGTATGTTATGATCAGGATTATTTGATGCTAAGCTAACGCCGGTTTGCACCGTTTGTGTGATCGTACATATAAAACACCAGATGACTGTTTAAATTAAGCTTTTTTTCAGAGTATATTTAAATGTGAGAATATCTCTAACCTCCAAGTTTGATTAAAGACTTAATGATTAATCACAAACTCATTTTCTGTTGGATTTAATAACATTTTAAGTGTTAAGAGCGAAGTCACGACTGACAAAATTAGGGAAAAACAAAACTTAAGGCGACCAGGAAGTAGAAAATAAAAAGCTTCTCTTTGCCCTTTTTCCTTTAAAAGTTCCGCTGCAGCACAAAGCTTAAAATCCAATCTGAGCAGACCAACGCTGACATTTAAAGAACCTCCACAGAGCGGAACCCTGATCAGACCAGAGCGTGTTTAAAAACTGAAAGGCAGATTCACGTCTACAAACTTCAATGTCGACGTCCAACACTTTTAACTACAGACTGAGCCGTGAAGCTGGAGAGAGAATCCTCAACATTAGAGGCTCTCGCATCGCTACAGTAATTCTCCTCAGCTCTGTGTTGTTTTAGATGTTTTTGGGAGCAAAGAAGAAGAGAAATGGAACTCATCCCTCCTGAACAAACCCGTGTGGCACCAGAGAACAACCTTCACGTCCCACAATGCACCTCTGAGGAAACCGCGCGGTGATAAATCCACCAATCTCAGCCGCACTCCATCACTAATGACGCTCATTCACGTGATAAAACGGAGACTTTACCGTCATAAAAGCCAGAGGGCGATCCACTCTGCACCCTCAAAAATAAAGCGCACGGATCATTTATGGTAATGTGACAAAATGTTTTGGCTCGAGGATATTTGTGACCTTCGTTGGACTACAAACCACAACAATAAATAATGCAGCTAAACACTTTTATTATTAGTTAATGTGATCGTTATTAAGATCGATGGTTTAGTCGATGCAATGTGACGGCCAAAGAGACGTCCAAAACACAAAGAGAAACAGCTGATTTATGACAAATCGATTATTAAACAGTCGGTGATTAATTCTCATTTACTAACCGATTAATTAAGCACTAGTTTCATTTAAATCAAATAGTAAATGAAACTACAACTCCCTGAAATTAAATAATTAAAACTAATGAACCGCGTTAAATTATCACAATAAATATCAGATTATTTTATACAAGATTCGACTGTCAAATTAAAAAATATTCTCATTATTATTTAGTTGTATGCAAGTTGCCGATTCAAGACTTATTGATCTCCCGTTTCTACCAGAAGTCCCTTTTCCATTAAATGATTTTGAATTATTCAACCTTAATTGTTTCAGATGAACAAACTTCACAACCTCCATGAAGGCAGATTGTATTTCAGGGCTGTTGTGTTTGACGTCATTAGTATTAATTAGGAGGATCTAATAATAAATTAAAAAGACCAAAATAATGCAACAAAGGACAATAAGAGTGTGCTCTTCATATCGAGACACCACAGCCAACACGTAACACACATTCACAGAGACGAGGCAGACACACAGGGCTGATATTGGAACTTTAAGAATGAATATTGGATCATTTTACTAAAAATCCAGATTAGTCGCGATTAGAAAACTGCTCTAATTTGAAGTCTTATTGTTTAAAAAAGGGGCGTCGGTCTCCGCACGGCATTAAATATCCGCTCAGGAAAACACCGCCTTCATTGAGGTTTCACACCTCAAGAATAAAAGTGTGACTCTTCAGTATTTGGGAGATATGCGCGAGCATAAACTCTGCTGCTGCAGAGCGAACCGTGAATGTGCGGCGGCGGAGTGCAGACACGTCCCGCCCGTCCACCGAGGACCCCCCCCCCCCCTCCCCCCTCATGAATTCATGCAGAAGGGCCCCCATGTGAGGGGCTTTGGATGGGCCGACATGTGGAGTCAACACAGAGCGTGCATATAGACAGCTCACAATCAGCCCACGAACAAATCCCCCCCGGCTCCACTGAAGAGGGCTCTGCAGCTGATCGCTTCATTTTAGAGATAAAGATCAATATTTTACAACAATAGAAGAAGATTTAGTGTATAATCACACTGCAAACAATAAAGTGGAGGCGCCGACGTCTCTGCGGTGCCGAGGTTTGTTTGCGGACACTCGACGGCGAGGAGTTCTTGACTTTCAACAAAACGCTGATTGTCCGTTAGGAGTTCTCTTCATCCGAGATGATCGGTTATCAAAACACAATTTGGTTAAAAAATTCAAACTTGAGAGCGAAACCTTTGCAGCACGTTTTTGAATATCTGAGATTTATTTTGAGGTCGAGCTGCTCGTCAAACTGACATTTTAATGACAGGATGCTGAAACCTTTACAGCAGCTGCTTTCATTATATTTCATCACTTAAATGTGATTTTTCTTTATGGCTTTAAGTTGTTAACTTCTCAGGTGTTTATCTGCTGTTGCAACACATTTAGTCACTCTGGAAAACACTTTGATCAGAGCGTTACCCGGTAGTGCTCTAGAGATCAGAGCGTTACCCGGTAGTGCTCTAGAGATCAGAGCGTTACCCGGTAGTGCTCTAGAGATCAGAGCGTTACCAGGTAGTGCTCTAGAGATCAGAGCGTTACCCGGTAGTGCTCTAGAGATCAGAGCGTTAACCGGTAGTGCTCTAGAGATCAGAGCGTTACCCGGTAGTGCTCTAGAGATCAGAGCGTTACCTGGTAGTGCTCTAGAGATCAGAGCGTTACCCGGTAGTGCTCTAGAGATCAGAGCGTTACCTGGTAGTAGTAGCGCAGCACCCAGCAGAGACCCTCCACGTAGGACCGGACCACCTTCTTCCTGAAGTCCTCATCACTCACATCCACATCAAACTTAGTCTTGTAGTATCTCTGCTTCCAGCCGTCCTCCCACAACCTAAAGCACACATGCACATGTGTTTATATAGTATATAATACTCTTTAGTGATACAGTATTACTGCATTAACACTCTGTGGTTTTGATTTTTTGACTAGAAGTAGAGGGAACTAGAACATGTCTTTAGTGCAGAATGACATGAATGATTCAAAAAACAAACAAAAGTACCCAGAAGAATATGCATTCTCTAATTGTATTATAATTATTGATGCATTAATGTGTTCATTGCTTTAATGTTGCAGCTAATGAAAAAGCTGGAGCTCATTTTAATTACTTTATAAACTGCTGGGTATCAATAATCTGCGAAGTAACTTCAGTTATCAGACAAATGTAGCTGAAGTATGAAGAAGCATTAAGTAGAAATACTCAAGTTCAGTTTTAAAGTACTCACTGTAGTAAATGTACTTTGTTACATCCCAACACTGGTCATGACGTCGACAACTTCTCACCAAACGACTTGAATTTGGCAAATTCAGGGTTCAAATCTGGATTAACCCTTTCAGTGTTTTTAATTGTTTCCACTTACACCGATGCCAAAATGCAGCACGGCTGTCATACAGACAAACCGTATTCTCCTCTTTTTGCATCATAATATCGATAAACTCTTTGGAGTCAGCTGTCTTCTATCGTCTGTGACCGTGAAATGTAAACGCATTACAGCGAGCGTACGAGAGTACTGGACGAGACAATCGCATGTTTGTAGAGCAAAATGTACCTAAACGATGCATTTGCTTATTAAAATGCTGCTCTGTTCATCTATAGGTTGAACCAAAAAAACACAACGCTGCTGCTGGAATAGTTTAATGGCTTTGACTTCGTTCTGCACACGTAATCAGGGCCGATCCGAGCATCTGTGTGGTGGAGCCTCGGCTCCTGAGAGGAAAGCCTCCATGAATACCAATTTAGCGCGATGGATTTAGCAGCTTTGACGAGAGCGTCACAGAGGAATTTACTGGAATATTCCTGCTTTCCATATTAATCACGTGCAGAGGGAAGTGGGAGCTGTGTGTGTGTGTGTGGGAGCTGTGTGTGTGTGTGTATGTGTTGCAGCACGGTGGCATTACTGAGTGATTCTCTCCGGTTGAGTTCGTTAACCCATCTTTGCAGGTCTGTGAAGATTCATTTTAAAAAGGCATTTTATGAACTACAGGCACTCGGTCGGCTGTGGATATTTATTCTGTATGTAAACTGCTTAGTAACCATATCTGGACTGAGGAGGATTGACGTAGAGACGCTGTATACGTCTCTGGTAGAGACCTGTCAATCACTGTGTAGCCCCGCCCTAAAGCATTCCCTGCTTTATGGTCTGTTTGACTCTAAATGGACCATAATGTACTAAATGAACATCATGCTGTATTGAAGAAGACTTGAAACTAGAGATTGAGACCATAAACTCATGTTTACAATGTTTACTGAGGTAATAAATCAAGAGAGAAGTAGAGTCATTTTCTCATAGACTTCTATACAACCAGAGGAGTCGCCCCCTGGTGGTCACTAGAGAGAATGCAGCTTTAACACATGAACCGTCTGGCTTTATGTCTACTCCAGTATTCTGTGAGGTCGAGTTGCATTGTGAGCAACGTAGGTCTCACGGTCGAGAAAGAACGTGCGGAATAAAATTTAAAAAAGACAATCTCTCTGGTTCTGCAGCAGCAGCTTGAAGGTTCTCTTTTAAAAGAGTGGATGTGCTTCCACAATACATGAGTACACCCGACAGACCTTGGAGAGGATAAAAGAAAAAGTCTTTAAAAGATTTAAGCATTACTTCCACTACGACCTCCGCCGGTTTACCTGACGACGTCTTCGGGCTCCGGCTCGCTGTCGCTGTCCTCAGCCTTCCTCTTCACACCCCTGTTGTCGGCGCCGCCGCTCGGCCCTGCAGATGACTGGACAGGGCGACAAAATCCCATGAAAAAAAGAAGAAAGAAACAGATCAGAAAAATCAAAAAAGTCTCATACATTAGTTGTTATCAGTGCAACAGTCTCAACACACATGATATCATATCTTATTATGTTTAAATATCTACCAGTAGGTTTGATGACGGGCGTGTCAGACAGTTAATAAATCTATTAATTGTGTTTAAAGTTTTTCAACAGATCAAGCTACGCTAATATTCTAAATACTTCCAACACATACTACGTGTTGTAAAGTCCAAAAGTCAAAGTTTATCAATAGAAAGATAGACATAAAGATGTCACACGTTCTTACGTAACTAAACATTCTGCTTTAATCCATACTTGTTGGCATTTAGCATTTCAAAAAGACTCGAGTTTGCTGCACACAAAGGGAAGCAGCGTCTGAATTAACAGCACCATGAATTACATTTCTAGAACCACAACAACAACAAAAATATAAGTTACGGTACATTACTGATATCAGCATCATTAACTATCGGTTTAAATTGGAGATGAAATAGTTCAATAGTTTGTTGGTCGATGTCTTTTCTTTGAGGGTAAAATGACTCCGGTGTTTTCTTTAAATCTATATTTCTTTTTTAAACCGTATAAATACACATTTTTTGGGGAAATTAATCATTCTGATCGGTCACTGGAATATACAAAAAATAAATACAAACCTATCGAAGCATCGTTAATTTAAAGACCGATAACTACCAAAGGAGAGCAGTAAATCCTCACAGCTGAGGAGCCGGAGTTAGTGAATGTTTTGGCAGTTTAAAAAAAAAAAGAAAAAAAGAAAAGTGACTCAAATGATTTATGTATTAAATCAGTTAAACATGTTATATTTGACAGACGTGTGACTGTCCTTTATATGTACAATCTTACTTTGCAATAAACCGCTTCCTATTCTAAATATCGCACTATTGTGACGATGTCTACTATTTAAAATCCATATTTCCTCCACATAGAGAAGAGGCAGAATATTGAAGTATGGATGAATTAATGAGCAGTTTTCAGGAGCCTCTATTGTATTTAACAGCGACGTCACGTCATAAAAACTACCGGACGATTATAAAATCTTTTTCTCTGAGTGAAAGATGAACTCTCTGCACAGCCGTCTGTTACAATAATAAAGCAGCTACTTAGCCTTCCTCTCCCCTGAAGCCTTTGTGCTGCTTTCATTCATGTGCTAATGTATGGCCGCCTGTTGTTGGCCGATTTATATTTAAAGCTGTACGTGGGCAGGAAATCCAACCGCTCCAGAGACGCATTAAATGGGAACATGACCGTGAACTGAAGCACGATGCAGCGTCCACGTTTAAAACAGACAATACAACCTCCACCGTCTACACTTTATTAGAAGGTGACAGCATTTCAATAAGAATTCAGATTTTCCTAGTTTGCGGCAGCAAAGATCAGCTTTCGATCCCTACTGGGTGATAAAGGAGATAACATCACAACTATAATGATTGTTCTTGTTGTTCTACAATCAGCAGCCAAGAGGCACCTCGAGTGGATCTCAGTCAAACTCTTTCTGATGCGGACGAATAATAAAACACTGGAGAGCAAAGAAGGGCCGATGGTTGTGAAGTCAAAGTGTTCCACGACGTCTCGTATTCAGATTGTAAAGAGAGGAAGTCAGTGCGGTGAAGACGGGGCGAGACTTTAATGGATAGTTTGGATGTTTTGAAGTGTTTGAGGCTCTTATCTATAGTCACTGTGTTACCTCCAGTCGCCACGGCTTGTTTGTGTTATTGTGAATCTGAATTAACTCTTTAAAGTCTGTCAACAACACAAACTCAGTAACAGATGGAGGAGCAGTAGACAGCAGCTCCTGTGCTCTGAGAGGTAGAGTCAGTGTTCTATGAATGGAGTCTGGTGTGTTTGTAGAGATCACAGAGAACAGCTTCAGTGTCTGACAGCAAGGTAAAGAGGAGAAGACATTCTAAATACAGCGCTCACTTAAACTGAGAGACTCTTTAAAATACGTCCACAGCAGAACATTACTTTGCTCCCGTGCTGGTTCTCCTGCAGCAGAACCCTGACTGTGGAGGAGAACCTCACACACACACTACTAAACTATCCCTTTAATATATATAATAATATATCCCTAACGATGCCTGATGTATAATGTCCTAATGATCAACACTGAGGACCAGAACCAGAGGATTATTCTAATCTTCTCATTAAAGTGTGTCCCTCTTTATCTTCTTTAATATATGTTGACTTAACTGTTCTCTGCCTGACAAAGTCAGATATGTTTGTATTTAATAAACATACGAGAATCAAACCAACACTCGTCATGTTGTTTATGTGCATGTAACTTACATTGCCACTGTTCTTTATGGAGGCCTTCAGGAACTGAGCAGCATCCTGGATGAAAATAAACACTTCATCATCTCCATGTTGGATTAGAAAATGTCCTCCCTTTCCTGAACTCTGAAGACATCACATCTCTTAACATATATTACATGTAGTTTGTACCCTCTTATGTTACTTCTGTATTAGATTCTAGGATTCTATTTCTATAGGAGAGACTACAAACCGATACCTACCTCTATGAGCGAAACAGAATGTTACTATAATAAAACAAAACAATACAAAGTTGTGTTTGACTTTGGGAGATCTAGAACTCCATTTCCCAGACTTCCAGAGCTGCAGAGAAGCCGTCGTACCTTGTTGTGCTGCATCCGCATGTCGAAGGCCTGATGCCGGGCGTTCTGGACAGCCTCAGGTCGGTCTCTCCTCCCCAGAGCCTGAGGGGCGAACTGGCCCGAGGTCAGGTGGGCGGGGCCTCGCTGCTCCGCCTGCGGAAAAAATATTATTATTATTATTATTATTATTATTATTATAATACGGTTTACTCTGCAGAAGCTATATCACATATCAGATATACTTTAAAACACATTCTAGGAAGCTTTTAACCATTTATCAATTGCCATTTAAATTGTAATTTATATAGTTTCATTTCTATGTTTTGGCATTTCTTCCTTTGTTGATTTCTTCTGATTTTTTTTTTTAACAGTACAAATAAAGTTTTAAAGATTATTTTTAAAGTCTTAAAGACGTACGTATCAAAGTACCAGTACTTTAAAGAGCTGTAACTGAATATAAGTTGATCTTGTGAGTGTTTTAAAGAGGACGAATGTTAAATATCAATCAGTGGTTCCTCTAAACTGTGTTTAAATAATCTAACTACAAGAGAGCGAAACACAACAGAACAGTTTGTTGCTTCAGTTAACGACGGCATTAAAATGAGAATATTGAATATTAAACGTGGTTTATCAAAGTTACATTTTTTGCTGAACTTATTATAGCATAAATATTTTAAGAATCACACATGACAGATCTGTTTTAAAATTAACTTTTATACAAGATCTCATGTATCCTCTGCGGTACTCCAAAGTACACTCGAGATGAATCTAAAGCTGCTTTATGACCAACGGATGGAAACAAGCAGAGAAAACGATGTGTGGAGAAACCCAACAAACAACAACGAGAAGAAGTGAAAGAAGAACGTGAAAACACTTCAGCTCATATGTGAGAATGTTAAGATGATAAAAGAGGAAAACACACAACGCTGCACTTTTATATCACTTAATAAAAGTACTTTCATCAGTTAAGATCAGTCAGCTAATGAAACCAACAAGCAGCACGACCGTCTTCCTCATTCTCTGCCTCACTCACCTTCATCCTCTTTCGTTTGTCTTTCATTCTCCTCTTGAAGCCTTCCTAAAGACAGAAAAACAACACGTCGATCACAGAAAGCAGTTCATCCAGATTAGAATAGAAATGTTCACGACTGTGGTGAACCGGTCTCGTTTCAGTTTCTGGAGATCATTTAAACCTCAGGTTTTGGTGCCAAAACGAGCCCAATACTTCACTGTATGTTGAGATCAATCGACAAAACGTTCTTGTCGTCTAAGAACTCAAAATAGTCCAATGTTGGCAAAAGTATGATTTCATTATTGGAGAATAAAGAAACAAGTTGAAGACTAAAGTTTGGTTTCCATCACTCTGAACTTTATACTCTTCTTGAGCTTATGAATACTTTATACTTTATCTGATAATCGAGTTGCAGAAATCTTACGTCGTCCTCTTTGCGTTTCTTGAAGATGTTGTCCTCGGCCACGCCCACCGCCTGCATGATCAGCTCCACCCGCTCCAATTCTACGTAGCCGTTCTCCGTCAGGTAGCCCTGAACACACAGTGCCGGAGCCACTTTAAAAACACACTTCATCCACCAACCGGAAAACAAACGACGACACAGAAACGTGTGGCGATACTCACTCCGGTTTTGTGCACGACGTCTTTGTAGATGTTGACCAGTCGATCGATCGCTCCCTCTCTGAGAGACACAAGGACAAATAAATTATAAACTGACAACAAACACTGATCTGTGAGGATGTTTAAGGATATTTAGCTGCAGCTCTCAGACACTCTGGAAACAGACATTTGGAGCTCTATAGTATCCTTGTACGAATAAAATAATGGCGAAAGCAAAGCAGAAGAAGAGTAGAAGTCTGAGCTGGTTAAAGTGAGTTGACAGGATTGCGATCACTGTGAATGCGGGGTTACATCCCAGATATCAAGCAGGGGAAACATCTGGACCCGTCGGAGAGCTACAGCCAATGAGAGCGCAGGACGCGGTTGAGAGGGCGGGGTCGACTGGAACAGGAACGTCACTGCATATTATAGACGTGTGGAAACCTGAGTTACTACTTGTGTGAGGACGATTTATCAAAATGAAGGTGTCTGTCATCTTCCTCCCACACGGAGGAAGATTAAAACAAAAAGGAAGAGAGGAGGAAACCCAGGAGCACCGCTGAGACCTGAGTCCTGTAAGTTACTGCTTCAAAATAAAAGCTTTGAAATAAAGTAACGGTGAACTTTTATTGTGAAGAACTTGTGTGTTCATCCAGACGTTCCTTTGACCATGAAATATATCCGCTCAAGTGTGGACACACAATATGTGAACACAGCCGGGTGTAACCACGGCCTAAAGACAGACGACATCAGACTGTGAACTTGGTTCTTTTAAGCTTAAAGAAAGCACAAGTCTTGAGAAACTCTGGAACTATCGAGTCTGTAGGCGGAATAGAAACAATCTGTTTTGGTTTTTTTTTTTTTTTTTTAAAGGACCAACAGATACAACAGCGCTACCACTTCCTCTGAAACTCAAACAAGCTTTCATTAAAGACCAGCTAGACGGAAGCTCACCTGATCTCTAAGGACGGCAGGTGCGGCAGGAAGTCATTCCCAACAAAGAAGCACATGAAGACCCAGTCGTCGATGCTCCTCTCGAAGTCGAAGGGGAACGGGAGGCTGGCCATCGTCAGCTCTCGGGCCAGGTACTGAGACCCGGAGGGGAGGAAGAATCAGCGTTATCGTTCATTTAGCATTAGCGCATGTTGCTTTTTTATTCCCCCAACGACCAGTTATTCGATCAGTAAAATGTAAATAATGGACAAATATGTTTAATCTACACTGTGTAGAGTCGTATGAGCAGCATCTAAAATATTCTGTAAGGTGGACATCAACAGACACTGTGGAGCCACGTTAGGACGATCACTTCTTAAATAAAAAAAGGAAGCGAAGTAGGTGAACATCTCACCTCCCGCAGCACACACAGCCTGATGAATATGAACTCCTGCTCGGACACCGGCATCGAGTCTGCAAACTCATCGTGCTGACGGAGAAAAAAAAAGATGAAGTTTAATTTGTGGCAAATTTCTGGTTAAAGACTTTTTTTTATATATTTAAAACCAAAAAAAGTATCATTGACACAAAAAAACAAAGTAAAATTCATGTCAGATTAACAGAAAGCCAGACTTTTGCTAATCAAACTCTCGTGGAAAATTTACCACATAGAAACAAAGTGGAAAATATGAATTTCCCCCTTTAGTTCTGGTATTTAAAGCTACTATGAGGAACTTTAAGTTTGTGTTGGTTCTGTTGGTCCCTGTGGACTAAAGTAATAGTGTCTCTGAGCACCAGAGTAACTTTAAACGACCATAAAAACACTTTCTTTCACAGTGACGTAACCACATTTCCTCCGTTGTAACCTCACCTGTCCCTGCTTCTCTCTCGGCGTCCCCTGACAGTCTTTGATCTCGTGACCCATCTGTCCACAGAGAGCACAGGGTCGAGGTTTGTTGGGTTTGAACTCCTCTCTGATGATGGTGAAGTTTGGCTCATGGGTGGCCAGACCCAGCATGATCAGATCAGCTGATCAGTCAGACAGAGAAAATGTGTTAAGTCACGACAACAGAGTTAAATAAAGCATATTTATTATTTAACTAGTCTTTATTGAACTTCTTTTACACGTTGGACTGAAGTGTAACGGCTTACCATCAGCGCCACACAGGCAGTGGTGTGTGTTGGGGTCGTGGTTCGGTTGAGCTGCAAAAGAGAATCACAAACGTGAGTCAACAAAATATCTGAGACGATTATAAACATAAATAATGTGTGATGTTGATTTGTGTGTTTTTTACTTTTACTCTGTTTATGTCAGAAGCATTTTTCAGGCTTATTTGTGGTGTTTGTTTCGTAACATTTTGTTTATTATCAATCCATCTACAGTAAATGTTCTTTATAAACTTGAACACACGGATGTGGGTCAGCTGTACCTCTCTGTCTCCTGATGTAGTCCATGATCTTGTGTTCTCCTTCACCGGGAACACTGGCATCAGACAGCAAGACCTGGACAACAAAGAGTTAATGAAGATTAGTGATCGTCGACCGCCAAGAGCTGAAAACTAAAACGTTTTAACGGTGTTATTTCTTTATTAATCTATCAGTCTGCATGTCTACAAAATGTCCAAAACAAAAAGACGTGTCTGGCTGTATTTTAAAGGTTTTACTCACCGTGATGTTCTTCCATCCCGGATCATTGCTGAGTCGGTCTGCGATGTAGTATCGAAGACACTGAGCCAGGTTGTCCATGAACTCTGTTCCCTGGAGACAAAAGAAGTCAAATGCTCTAATTCTGCTGTAGTATAATATAAATATAAATATATTAACCTATATGTATGCCTGGAAAAAACCCAGAGGAGCATGAACCCTCTTTTACAAATAAACCACGTTTGAATTATAAAAACAAACTAATTAATCCAAATGCAACAATAAACGTTACCATAATAAGTAAAAATCTGCGATAAAAGAAACTAAAATATCCAGTAATAAGTATAAAAGACTTACTGGAGTGATACAGTTGCTGTCAAATCTCTCTTTAACCTCATCCGGTGGAAGATAACCTCCTGTGGAGGAGTGAACAAGTTAGGTTACATGGAGCACGAAGGGTTAACATTCAAAAGGTTAAATGTGGCGTGTTTCCTTCCTCAGACAAAGTATCAATACTTCAAATACATTAAACATAATATTACTGAATAATGAGATTCCAAAAGAGACAGAATATGATGATGATGTTCAAATTGTGACATCCAACGGGAACAAAAGTAGCACATCAGGTGTGTTTTAAAGCTTTGAGCTGTCCTGGAGGAAAACATCTCTTTACCATCAGAGGGTCGAGTCAATACACACAGTCTCTGGATTTGAAAACATCACACACACACGCAAACACACACACAGTCAGTCACACACACCTCTCCCGATGACCTCCTCCCGGATGCGATCCTTCTCCTCCAGCAGTTCCACGCCTTCTTTGGAGGCGCGAAACCGCCGAGAGCGCTGCTGGTTCATCTTGGCCCGCGGAGCCTGGTGGAGTGAAACAGGATGTTATTGTTTACTGGACAACAGCTGAGTTCAGCTTGGTCATCAGAGCTAATTTTCTGCCCACATTAGTCCAAATAAGAATACATTATTATGAATAAGAAAGAAGAATTAGAATACGTTCTAGGAGTAAACTTCACAGTAAGCTTTGGACAAACTGACAAACCTTTCAGCCATTTGAAAAACACCTAACTGATATAGTAACTGACTGAACGCTACTCACCACTCCATCGATGGCCATGTAGAGAACTCTCCGGGGTCGCACGATGTTGAACAGACGGTCGATGTACTCGAATATGGCGACCATCATCTCGTCCTCGTTTTTAGGGGCGGCTCTGTGGAGAGCAGGGGAGAAGGGTTTTATTTTTATCACTTAACTATACCATTCCTATAAGAGTGGTGGTGTCATACCAAACCTCATTTAACGTGGTTTAAAGTTCCCGCTTAGTACTTCTGTTGTGTGACTATAACTTAAAACTTATTATAAATATGAAGAAATCCCACCGACAAACAATCAGATTTGCATCTTTTACCATCTTAGCTACCCTTTGTTCCAACAATCAATCATCCAGGTTTGATTAAAGGAATAAAATACTTGAAATGAGCTCTTCAAAGTCCCTTAAATCACCCTGAATGCAATCTAGGAGTGAAAACACAGATTTCTTCCCAATATCATTTAATCTGTCAGATTAATCGGGTCACTTTTTGTCTACTTAATGTCCCAAAAGCAAGAAATATATTTAAAGCCCACGGTGACATCTTCACTGCACTTGATTTGTCCGACCAACAGTTCAAAACATTCAATTTACAATATAAATTTGCTAAAGCAAATCTAACACAATCGTCAAAGTATATTTAAAAAGGTTCTCATTTGACTGTTAAATCATCACACGGACAGTTTTCCAGTAAAACGTTGTGCTTTTTTTCATACTAGAGAGAAAAGTGTCAAACCAAACCTTGACTTCAGAAACAAAACAATAAATCACTAAAATAAAACACAAAGAGAAAGTGTAATGAGTCTTAAAAGTCCAGACTGAACAGAGACGGGTCCTACTTGTCCTCTGGATGTGTACACGGGTGAATGATCCCGTTCATGTCCAAGTACAAGTTGTCGAATTCCACCTCGTTGGGGTTCGGCTTTGTCGTATCGACAGGAACACAAACTCCATTACATTCTTTACCCTGTGAAGATAAAAACAAGTCAGGAACAAAACACTTTGTTTAAAAGACAACACAGGTTTTTACCCAGAAAACTTTTTGGCAACACATAAAGGAACACTTCATAGTTCAGTTTATCACACACTTTCAACAACACATCTGGAGACACGTGGTTTTCATTTAAATACATAAATGTACAAGTACAGATTATTTTTGACCGTTCAAGGTTAAATGTAGATTTTATATGGTGCAATATGTTAAAAAAAAAAAATCTATATTTAGACGTTTTTGTTTCTAGTCGGAAGGAATAAACAACCGCCCCGTTTTGTTTACAATCTCTCCAACAAGTCCACGCACTTCCGGTGTTTTACATTTCGTTATTAACGAACAGAAACCCCGGAAAAATAAAAATACAAATGTATCGACGACACAACATTAACGGCAGAGAAGACGCATAACCGTCTGTAATCAGTAAATATATATATATGAAATAAGATATCACATGTTAAAATCTTCCCGCGAACGTTGACGCACCATGTCTCAGTTGCTAGCTAACATGCTAACCACTTACCTTCTCCTCAACACAATGCACAATGATTGACGCATATTTTCTGCTAAGCCAACGGAAAAACGCCGGGACTCCCATCTCCGGTATAATGTTTTATCTGTCCGCTTATTAAAAAAATAAATACGTGAACTCTTGAAAAAAACAGTTAAAATAGCAGAATTAATACACGATATTTGTTGTGAATGAAGTCGGCTACATGCTGCTGGCCATGGCCGTTGTGTAGTGCTTCCGGTTCATGTTGGTTTTATCCGGGGCATTCCAGAAAAGCAACTGCGCCCACAGCGACCCCAACGACCATAGACGGTACTGCAGCAGTCTGAAGTACAGTGGAGTGGTAAAGGATGTTTAGCTCATTTACTTTTAAGTAAAAGTACTAACACGGCATTGTAAAAAAAAAAAATACTTGTAAGTAATGTGAAAGTATTTAAAATGCTACTTAAGTAAAATGTTTGTACATGTATTCATTTCACATAATAACTCTCCCGAATATGAAAATGTATATAAAAATTATATTAAATACAAAATAAATATAATAATAATAGTAATACAAAATCCACACAAACACATTACAAGTAAATACATTGAAAAAAAGTATATATATATTTAAAACGCTCAGCAATTAGACATATGAATATGAAAATAGGTAGATGAAAATAAAACACAATAAAAAATGTAGTCACAAAGAACGACAATTGATTGATATCTTAATACTAACGACAATTAAAATTATTAGATTTCCATGTAACAAACCACCGGTGCGTGAGCCTCAGACTCCACGTTTCCTTGTATCTTCAGCAGCCACAGTCTGATGTTACATAATGCTCCTTTAATGGGGCTTCTCTGAACAGATGCCCTCTCGCTTCCCAACCCTGCAGCACCACATTTAAGGTGAATTAGATTTTTTTTACCTCCTCATCTCTCTGCTTCATACAGAGGGGGGAGAGGAGGGAGGAGGGAGAGAGGACCATTAGCCCCCCCCCTCTTCAGGCAGGGCGGGTCTGACATCAACACTGCAGTGTTATTACTGCAAAGAGCTGCTGATGGAAAACACTTGGCCTGCTCCAACGGGGCTATTTCCATAAACATTTACGCTGGAGCTGCAGGTAAAAAGGACGAAAGGACAGTTCAGTGTTTGTGGAGGGAAATCTGATGCAAATCTCTCTCTCTCTCTGTCTCTCTCTCTCTCTCTCTCTCTCTCTCTCTCTCTCTCTCTCTCATGAGGTGTTACAGCTCAGGAATGTGAGTCTGCAGAGGATGCAGTTACTGAATTCACGTGTTCTGGTCTTCGGATCGCTGCAGACTCTTTTTAAATAAAGACCTTGTTGTTAGGAAATCAATTTCACCAAAAAAACACACACATCAGCCTCAATATGTTTAGTTTCAGACCTGAAAGCAGATGGAGACAGAATCTAATCATGCAGCTTTTTCTCAGTTTTCTATGTGAGCTGATCTTTTCTGATGATTTCCTCCAACATGCAGAAGACTTAAAGAGGCAGAGCGCCCTCACCTGGTGGGTTTTCACCAGTATGAAGCTTCGCAGCAGCTCTCAGCCTCCTTGTGTCTGTTTGCATTCATCACGTCTGGTGTGAGAGCAACAAAATAAAACAAAATACAATTTGTTGAATGCATTTACATACTTAGTGAAGAAAGCTGATTTAGATACTGACTCCCGAATTATCTGATTTAGAGCACGAAGACAGTTAAAGATAATAAAAACAGCTCACATCAGGATGAATGACTTTAGAGATGTGTCTTCTGCACTCTGAAGAGTTCAAAACTCCTTCTGACAGACTCACACTTCTTTCTTTACTTTTTATATTCTCTTCAGTGGATTCATGAAAACAACTCAGCAGTAAGACATTCTATCATATGCATATATTTTTTGCTGAGATGCCTTCATGACTTTCTCTTTCTTGTGTTTCCTTTTCTTTTACACAATCTTAAAGTATATTATTGTGATATTTAGGGGAAAGTTATTCTGGACTTCTGTTGATTATTTACATCAAGACAATTATTTCTTGCAAGTTTTTTGAAATGTTACGTTTAAATATGCAAATGAAGGCTTATCTTTTGGTGAATTTAGGATGAATTTCACACAAAGACGCTGCAGGTCTCGCTTAAGTATTCAAACAACATTTAATCTCATTTAATCTGCCATCCAGGAGTTGATTTGTGTGAACGCTCACACACCAGGAGCTTCAGATGTGTATCGTCTGATTATTAAGAAGTTTTAGTAAAAGAGCTCGTCCAGGGAGAAAAACAGGATCTCTTCTCCCGTCGTGTCCGTCACATTCAAACTGTACACTGTAGTTTTCATGCTAACAAAGCCGGCGGCTCCATGGCCCCTCTGATTAGCTGATCCCTTTAGCCCACACATGAAAAGCTCAGCAGGAACTCGCATGGTATAATGCTGCAATTTGTGTCTCCAAGGTCGGGATGTGTCCTCGGCGACTCGCAGGATGTCTTCACATCTGAGCCTCTTTGAGTCGGTTTCTGCTCATTGTGCCGCAGGAATAAAGACCCGCCGGGGTTCGTCTTTTAAAAAGAATCCTTCCTGTAAAAAGAACACACATACACTCTCATTTTTTACTTCTCGTCAGCTGAGTTTTTACAAAAGCAATGTGATGTGTCTTTGTGGGAATGTGTTCAGGTGCACCTTGAAGGGGACCGTGTGATTGTTGCCATTTTGTTCTTGTTTGTTTTGGGTGGAAAAATCCTTATTTATCTGATTAGATAAAGAACCACAGCGAAAGTACATAAAAGAAACGTGTCCTCCGGTTCTGAAGAGTGAAGTCAAAGCTTCATGTGTTGAAGCTGCATTCTCTCTACTGTCCACCAGGGGGCGACTCCTCTGGTTGTATAGAAGTCTATGAGAAAATGACTCTACTTCTCTCTTGATTTATTACCTCAGTAAACATTGTAAACATGAGTTTATGGTCTCAATCTCCAAAAACAAACAAACATCAACCTCATGGTGGCGCTAGAGAAAGTCAACGGATCACTAAAGTCAGTGAGTTTCATCCTCTGGGGAACACGAACTGTCTGCACAAACATTTCATTGATCCATCCAATAGTTGTCGAGATATTTCGCTGGACAAAACACCACCTTTACTGTTTTTTTTGTTCATTTTTCAGGCACATTTCATTTGTCCGTCTGTTTGTTTACTCGTGTTTTGTTAAACGGAGTGAAAACAATGCTTGATCTCCATCAGGGACGTTGGAGGTCATGTTGACGGAGCAGCAGTCAGTAATAGGATCAGTGGTGAGTCTGCTGATTGAAAAAGGCAGCGGCTCCGATGGTGTGAAACACTCTTGGCAGAGGTAAAGCGCTTTAATTGAGCTAAATTTGTCTCAATGAAGGCGCTCACTTAAAAAGCGAGAGGCGGCTCTGGCAGCGGGCCGGGACAAGGGGTCCTTACCTGCACATTAGAGGGGAAGGCATTTTAATAACAACACCCCCCCTCCTCCCCCGTTAGCGTCTCACTGGAGTGGAACTCAATTATTGCTAATGGAAGTTCACCACACATTTTCAAATGGGAGCCGTCGACTGCTGCAGAGTCTCAGCTACACAAATATTCCTCCATCGCAGATATAACAAATAGTTCCTCTGGTGTTATCTTTCCGTCGGTACTTTAAGTACTGTACTAAAAAGCTAGTGTGAGGAACTTTTATCTGGTCCTGAACCAGTCTCAGTGTAGTCCTGATCCTCTATCAGACCTCCATCAGTAAAGAGACCATCAGAGAGAAGATGGTCTGTTTCTATAGAGTTATTCTTAATGCTCGTCATCGGAGCCACCGGGTCGGATTCTGGTGAAACCAGATGAACTCATGCAGGTTCACCAGAAACTCCTTCAGCTCAGACTCCAGCAGAGACCGGTCCACCGTGGACAGATCCAGATCCTCCAGCAGAGACCGGTCCACC